AAGAAATGCAATGAGGAAGACAGGGCTTCTGAAAGAGTGCGTTTGCACTGCTGCAAAAAAAGCAGAAGAGCAAACGCAGTCCCTGGATGTGGCAGAGTTTTTCCGGGATACTTTTGGTATCCCGGAAAACCCCCGTAGTGTAGATGTAGCCTTTGTGTGTAGACAAAGTTTCAGAAACGTGGTGTGGTCCACATCTATTTGTTTGGATTTGAGCTGGCCAATATTGTTACAGATCTATTACAAAACGCAGCTTTTTTTAAAAAAAGGCAGCAAATTCTCAGGAACATGGTTGCTCCAAACGTTTCGTTCTTCAAAACTTCTCCATGGCTTTTTGTGCATCAGAATCTTTTGCTTAGCTTTAATTTTTTGCACCGACAGTTTTGAGCAGTGGGCAACCTTTGGCCTGAGGGCTGTATGCGGCTCATCGGGGTTCTATGCCTAGCCCATGAGACATTTTGTTGCCCATGCACAGGGTTGCCAGATTCTGCTGGGTTTCATCCGCATCGTTTTTTTCCTACCGGTATCACTAAAGTGACACACACGCACGTGAAGCCAGGGCACGTGCAAGGAGGGGCGGGCTGACTGCACACGACATTGACTGTGAGCACCACGTGTGTCCTCTGAAGCCAATCGCAGCATGGCTACGGTTCCATCAGCCCTGCCCGCACATTCTAGGTGCGCAAGCGCAGTGAGCAAAACCATCCTGTCCCCGGAGACCATCTTGGTTACGACAATCTTGCGGAGATGAAAGAAACCACCCTGTGGTCCACTCACTAGTCTCGGTTGCCCTTCACTGGTTTTGACTGATTCTCTCTTCAGCCCCAATCCTGCTTATGTTTATGGGGGTAGATAACTTTTAACAGGGGCGTCCTGGACTTCACCTAATAGTTAGATTGACCTGGCTACAGCTGTGAAAGGGTTCAGAAAAGGGCAACTAAAATGATTAGGGGTTTGGAACGGGTCGCATATGAGGAGAGGTTAAAGCAACTGGGACTTTTCAGTTTAGAAAAGAGGAGACTGAGGGGGGATATGATAGAGGTATATAAAATCATGAGTGGTGTGGAGAGGGCCGATAAAGAAAAGTTATTTATTAGTTCCCATAATAGAAGAACTAGAGGATACCAAATGAAATTAATGGGTAGCAGGTTTAAAACTAATAAAAGAAAGTTCTTCTTCACACAGCATGTAGTCAACCTGTGGAACTCCTTGCCAGAGTAGGCTGTGAAGGCTAGAACTATAATAGAGTTTAAAGAGAAGCTAGATAATTTCATGGAGGTTAGGTCCATAAAAGGCTATTAGCCAGGGGATAAAATGGTGTCCTTGGCCTCTCTTTGTCAGAGGCTGGAGAGGGATGGCAGGAGACAAATCGCTTGATCATTGTCTTCGGTCCACCCTCTCTGGGGCACCTGGTGCTGGCCACTGACAGCAGACAGGATACCGGGCTAGAAGGACCTTTGGTCTGACCCGGTACGGCCGTTCTTATGTTCTTATGTAAATGTCACCCCCTAAGCCCTGAAGCTGTGGCAACCTGACTTTTGGTGTAGATGTGGCCAGGCTGAGGGAAGAATTCTGTCTCCCTCTCAGAGAAGTGGATTTCCTACGTCAATGGAAAATAAAAAGTTCCCTCGATAACCCTCTGGAACTGCCGGAGCACAGCTGCAGTGCAGACATAGTCTGAGCACTTAGGGTACGTCTAGACTACATCCCTTTTTCGGAAAAGGGATGTAAATTAGACGCATTGAAGTTGCTAATGAAGTGGGGATTTCAATAGCCCGTGCTTCATAGAATCATAGAATAATAGGACTGGAAGGGACCTCGAGAGGTCATCGAGTCCAGCCCCCCGCCCTCAAGGCAGGACCAAGCTCCGTCTACACCATCCCTGACAGATGTCTATCTAACCTGTTCTTAAATATCTCCAGAGAGGGAGATTCCACCACCTCCCTTGGCAATTTATTCCAATATTTGACCACCCTGACAGTTAGGAATGTTTTCCTAATGTCCAATCTAAACCTCCCCTGCTGCACTTTAAGCCCATTACTCCATGTCCTGTCCTCAGAAACCAAGAGGAACAAATTTTCTCCTTCCTCCTTGTGACACCCTTTTAGATATTTGAAAACCACTATCATGTCCCCCCTTAATCTTCTTTTTTCCAAACTAAACAAGCCCAGTTCATGAAGCCTGGCTTCATAGGTCATGTTCTCTAGACCTTTAATCATTCTTGTCACTCTTCTCTGTACCCTTTCCAATTTCTCCACATCTTTCTTGAAATGTGGCGCCCAGAACTGGACACAGTACTCCAGCTGAGGCCTAACTAGTGCAGAATAGAGCGGCAGAATGACTTCACGAGTTTTGCTTACAACACACCTGTTGATACAACCTAGAATCATATTTGCTTTTTTGGCAACAGCATCACACTGTTGACTCATATTCAACTTGTGGTCCACTATGACCCCTAGATCCCTTTCCGCCATGCTCCTTCCTAGACAGTCGCTTCCCATCTTGTATGTATGGAACTGATTGTTCCTTCCTAAGTGGAGCACTTTGCATTTCTCTCTATTAAACCTCATCCTGTTTACCTCCGACCATTTCTCTAACTTGCTAAGGTCATTTTGAATTATGTCCCTATCCTCCAAAGAAGTCGCAACCCCACCCAGTTTGGTATCATCTGCAAACTTAATAAGAGTACTCTCTATCCCAATATCTACATCATTGATGAAGATATTGAACAGTACGGGTCCCAAAACAGACCCTTGAGGAACTCCACTTGTTATCCCTTTCCAGCAGGATTTAGAACCGTTAACAACAACTCTCTGACTACGGTTAAAAAGCTCCATGACGAAAAAAACGGCGGCCATTTTAATGCTAATGAAGTGCGGGATATTTAAATCTCCGCTTCATTAGCAATTTCGACCTGCCTAATCTGCATCCCTCTGCCGGCAGAGGGGTGCAGTCTAGACACACCCTTAGACTGGGACTCTCTGGGCTTGGAAGAAAGGTGTGATGGTTTTTAAAACCAAATTACCTCAAAACCTCGGTCTTCACTGCAGAGTTAACTCAAGTTATTGAGTGTTCCCTGTAAGCTGAGCACTTGGGCAGGAGCCAAGGAGAGATTCAGGTGCCCCCCAGCTGATTGGCAGAGTGCCCACAGCTGACAACCGCCAGCAGCTGGTGTTTCTATTGGTGGTGCACATCTGCACATGCCTTGGTGCACACAACAGAGTTTATTCTGCACATGGATGGAAAAACTTCGAGGGAACACTGGTCTACATTACAGCAAAGCTGTGTCCTTAACTTGGGTTATCAGCTTGAGTCAAAGTCCAGGAGGAGCCGGGAGTGGAATTCGAGCTCTCACCCTAGTCAAAAGCTGTGCTTCGGTGTCTTCACTGCTCTTTGGAACCAGCTAATTCACACCGACAAACACACCATTTGCAATGAGGACGGAAGCACAGCGATGCGCTGGCAGCTGACGTGCCCGCTCAAGCTGTGGTGTGCACCCCAACAGGCTGGCTAGAGGGAGTTAACAGCTCCCAAGGGGGGGAGGTGTGGATGGAACTCAAGTGAGAGACAACCCTCAGGTTATAACTCGCGTTAAATTTCCATGAAGACAAGCCCCTTAATTCCCGGCGCTTGATTCTCATTTCCACAGAGGCCATTTCACACCCCTCTGGTAGTCTGAAGGGGCCTGAGAATGTGTATAAATTACGCTCTGTGGTCACTTCCCGAGGGCTTTCAAGGGACCGTGGCATAACTGGAAACGTGGGCCACTGTATTTACATATGCTTTAAAACTGCTTCATGTTCCCAGAGCGGCCCTAATATCAATGCGAGTCAGGCCCCTAAGACAGAGGCGGCAGAACACCTTTACAGTCTCAGAATGGTAGACTCCAAGCAATGGTGAGACTCAGTAAAACCTTGTAACGTCGCAGCTTGGTAGGGATTAGGGAGGTGAATGGTTAACCGGTTAACCAATGAAGTTTACCAGTTGTGTTTAACTTATGGGGGCTGCTTCAGCCTTGTGAGGTCCGCAGTGGACCTGGGCATGCTATAGGCAGGGGCAGCCCAGTTGGCCCAGACAGTCCCTTCCTGTGGCCAAGGGACCATCCTAGCCCAGTTGCGGTGGGTGAGGGGGCTGCTCCCCCAGGCTGGAGCCCCCCCCCTTTAATCGGTTAACTGGCTAAACACTTGTGCTTTAATTCAATGGGATTTTACATCCCTAGTAGTGATGGGTGACGCCTGAGGAATCCTGTCGTATGGGCCATTACTGGGGAATACGAATACTTGATAGTAATAATCCAGCGGCAACGCTGTTACTGTGCTGCCGCACTACGCACGGTGACCAAGGAATACGGCAGCGTTCTAGAGCAACGAGGTCACGGCACGACCGGCTATTGCCGGGGAACACGGCAGCCTTCCCCATCTCCCGGTAGCCACATGGCCAGCGGGAAGAGTAGCAGCTCCAGACGCCAAGAGAATTCCTCCCCCTTCCCCTCCCCAACGAAGGCAGCGGCACTCACCAAATGGTGCATCAAGCCCTTGGCGCCCTGCGAGGTGATCACACGGAGGTCCGGTTTACGGCTGTTAGCGGCGAGCTGTGTGCCGTGGGAGGGCGGTGGGGGTGATTTCGCTGGGAGGATCTTGCCCATGGTGCTGCCGTTTGAGACCGGAAGAAGACCCGGCGAGGCTCTGGCGCTGACGTAGCCGTTTCCTGCGGGGGGAGGGAGGGGAGTGCACATTTTGGAAATGGTTGGAAGGGGAGATGGAGAGCTCCAATCGCCGTTGCCCCGTAACTTGAGCCCCACCCTCTATTGCCTCTTGCAGTCATTTCTATCCCGGCAACTTGAGCGCCCAAAGGCTGCAAAGCCAGGTGGGGGATTAATTCTGACTTAGACTAAGCCCCCTTTACACCACTTGAGCAGTGCCATGAGGGCTTCAGATAATTCCTCACCATTTTGAGGCCCCTTTGCACGGCTAGCGTGACCCGAAGGGGCTGTAGTGTAAATGCGAATCAGGACCGAGGATCCTCTCCCCCGGTGTCGGTGTGGTCTCTATGAACTGTGAGCATTTTGGGGCCGAGGCTGTCTCAAACAGAAACACCCAGCATCCAGCACAATCTACCTTCATTCTCAGCAGGTCCCATCTCCACAGCATCTGAGCATCTCTCAAGTTTCAAGTAAGGATATTAAATTGCGGGTAACTGACTAATCAAATAGTCGAAGCATTTTGCATCGAGTATTCGACTAGTCAATAGGGAGTGTCTGCCTTTGAAGGGCCCTAGGGCTATTGCTACACTTTAAAGGCGAAAGTGCCCCGTGGAGCCCAGATTCAGCTGGGGACTCCCCAGCTGACCCCAGGATCCTAGCCACTTTGAAACACCGCCACAGGAGCCTGGAGTCAGGCTCCTCCCAGCATTTCAAAAGAGCAGCACTGCGTGGAGCCTGGGATCAGTTGGTCCCAGGCTCCATGCAACTCTGCCGCTTTGAAATGCCGGGAGGAGCCTGATGTGGGGCTCCCGCAGTGGTGTTTCAAAGCAGCCGCGCTGCGTGCAGCCCGAGGTCTGGCCCCAGGCTCCACACAGCGCTGCCGCTTTGAAGTACCCCTTCCTTCCCCCCCGCCCTTGCTGCCTCTTTCTGACAGAGGCAGCAAAGTGGGAGGGAGCAACTAGTCAACTAGCTTGTCAACTATCCAATAAGCATTTGCTAATCGGATAGTCGACTAGTGTTTCACATCCCTAGTTTCAAGGCTTTTTTGGGGGGGGAGGGGGAGTAAAAAATTCATAGATTCCAAGGCCAGAAGGCAGCATTGTGATCAGCTAGTTGGGGTCCCCAGACTTTTCAGAGTTGTGCCCTGCCTTACGAGTGTCTGTGCCTCCCCCTTCAGAGTGGGGCCGTGGCTGAGGTGGGGCAAGGGGGGCACAGACTAAGGAAGCTAATTACCCAGAATTGCGCACCTCTTTTCCAGTCTGAATGTGTCTAGCTTCAGCTTCAAACCTTTCCATCATATTGGACCTCCTTCTACTAGACTGAAGAGCCCGTTACCAAATATTTCTCTCTCATGTAAAAACACTGCCCTGGCTGAGCCAGAAGGGCCATGAGCATCCGTGCTAAGAAGGGACCCGTGACACAGATTTTGTTCTAAATCTGTGGCAATGCTGAGACGTAACGCCAGCTCTCCTAAGTGCCAGTCCCGGGCTTTGACCCTCCAAACTGTCCTCTCTCACTCCCCGCACCCATCCTAGCCTTACACTCTAGCTATAAGGCAGAATGGGGCTGTTACCCCTTTTGAGAGATGGGAAACTGAGGCATGGAGATTTGCCTCCTGCCAACCAAACAACTGGGACATGAGTCCATGTTTCTAGAGCTTCACTGTCCTTCCTCCCCTTAGGTGCCAACTTCTTCCTTGGCCACCCCCTCTCTGCCCTAGGCTCCCCTCCACTTCTCCCTTCGCCCCTATCATCTACCCTCCATTCCCTTCCCCCAAGTCCCTGCCCTGCCACCACCCCACCACCTCCAGAATACGGCAAATCAGCTGTTCGTGGCACTCTGCAAGCACTGAGAGGGCGGGGGAGGAGCTGGTCAGCAGAGTCACCAGCGGGTGAGAGGCGTGGATGATGGGCCTGAGAGGAGGGCACATGTATGCTGGTGGGTGCTTAGCATCCACTAATTTCCCCTCGCCAGTGCTCAGCCCTGGAGTACCCACAAAGTCAGTGCCTATACACCCACCTACTAGGCCTCTAAGCCCTACTGCAGGGCAAGTGATAAACATTAAGGGTCTGAGCCTTATTTACACGGAGGCCTCTTTGAGCTGGTCTGGCAGCACAAAGGGACGTCAGAGAGGGCGAAAATCAGCGACACCCTTGGTCACTGAGAATCGGGGCTCCTCATCCCAACCCCCCCACGACACTCAGAGTTTCTTCCTCCTCTTCTCCCCTCCCCTCCCCCCACCCCAGTTCAGAATTTCACGTGCGAAGCAAAATTAAAAAAAGATCTGACGAACGTCAGGGAAAGAATAAACTGGATGAGATTATTGTTCCGATGAGATTATTATATTTATTTTTTTATGAATAGGCCCCTAAGATAGAAAGACATTTAGCAATCACCAAGATTCAGCCCTCATATTCATCACACATTAGACTGGGAAAAATAGGTCGCTGATTGCATTATTAATCAGCTTCCCAATCACGCTACATCTGCATTTCAGGGGGCAGCTGGGTAGCAGTGGAGTTTCAGACATGACGCGCGCCCAGCTGGGACGAACCCTGGCTCCCGTCGGTTGTCCCTGCCTTGCCATCGGCCTGGTGTAAGGGCCTAAAAGTGAGTGTGTCTGTGATTTATACCTACAAATTACCCTGCCAGACCTCTGACCCCAAATGCTAATGCCTGGACACTGCAGGGAGGGGTAGCACTGCGTATGTGGGCGTTTGCACAAGTATAGTGCTCTGCGTCGCTGCAAATCTAGAGCAGCACTGAACTTGAAGGAGCGACCGCACTACCGCACAGATCTCACCCTGCCAAAGCCAATGGATGTGCTCCCGGTGACTGCGGCTGGGCTTTGGATCAAGCTCCACAGCAGCAAGGAATCAGGCCTGGTGTGAACACGCGGCTGCTGAGGATGTATGGTCAGATTACTCGGCCAGATCCTCAAACTTCCATGCAGCTGAGCAGAAAGGAGGTGGCGAAGCTGCCTTAAAGCCACCTTTGCGCTCTTCTAATCCTAGGACGGCTCTGTGCCAGCTCATGCCCCCTCTCCCAGTAAGTCAGAGAAGCTTCGAGGCTGCTCTAATTGGCATTGGCTGTCAACCGCCTCCAGAATTTGTCCTGCAGCATGAACCCTGATGATGCTCCTTACCCTAGAAATGCCCCTATGCTGGCACTGAGAAGGAAGTACGGTCAGAGCTGGTATTAGCAGCCAAGAATAACAGTCGGGATCTTCCAGCGGGATTCGAATCTGCTCTGATTTGGGCTGCTTTGTATTGAAGGAACACAGGAATTGCCAAAGCCATGGTCTGTCTGACCTGCTACGCAGCCTCTCACCAGTACCAGCAGTGGCCACTACCTGCTGCTTCCTAGAAAGGTCCGAGAACCCTGGCAGAGATGGGATAGTTTGCCCTTGAGGAATGTCTCCTCCTAACTCCAAAGCTTGAGGCTGGCACATGCCCTGATCCAGGGTTCGACGGGTGTGGGTACTCTTGGATCAAATGCAACTTCTGAGCCCAGACAATCAACACATTAGCCTGATCCAGGGGTGCACTGGGTTTTGCACAAACCGTCTCTCATTTGCAAGGCCACCAGCTTTTATACTAATTGCCAACGGAAGTGCCCAACATTTCCTGTGCGACCTTCACCGCTTTCAGCTGCTTTTTTTTTTTTTTTACAGTGGCGTGCTGTTGGGTTTTATGCAAGGCTGTGCGCAAGCAGAGTGGGGCAAGGCCAAAGCATGTTCAAAATGCTTACGTTTTCCAGCCATAAGGCTTCCGTAACGATAACTCAGACGCATAAATAGGTTCCATGACAACAACAACTGGTATTTTGCCTTATTGTCTGTGAAGATCTGGGTGCGTATATTGCAATGGGCTGGCTGGAGTGTATGCGCAACACTGCCCCCTGCAGGATGGAATCAGAACTGCTCACCATGGATCATAAGCCCTGTACTAACAGCGATTCTCCTTGAATTCATGTGCTCTGGCCTTGTGCTTTAGGAACAGGAGGAGCTGAGTTCTATCCCTGAAATTCCCATGAAATTTTGAGCCAGTGCAGAATAGCAATAATGCAGAAATGGCCCTGTCCCCACAAAGCTGTGGCATTCAGGGTGTCGGGAGGGGCGGCACAGGGACTGGGGAGAGCTGTGGGTTGCAAGTTGAAGATCAGCAGTAGAAAAACCCATCTTGACTCCTTTGCATTTCCCACCCCCGCCCCAGATCAAAGCATGACTGGCCAGGTGCCTGCTGCCGTTTGCTGGCCCCCTACCAGCCTCTGGCTCGGAAATCGTAGGTGGGGTGTCAAAGCCACACTGGAAGCAGGCTGCAGTGAGAACCCAACATGCCATATGTCAGCTCTCCTGCGAGGTCCTCTCTGCTGACCGCAGGGGGCCAGCAGAATACACACCAGCAGGCAGGGCGAACAGAGGCAGCAGCCTCAGGTGCCAGACTGTGTGGGCGGGGGGGAGGGGGGGGGGGGCCACTAGGACCCAGAGTGTAGAAAATTGTGCCTGCTGCTGGTGCAGATGTATTTTCTCTGCTCTAGATGCAGAGATGGTGGAGTGCTGTGCTGGAGGAAGGAGGGCACAAGAGACATAACAGACAGGCAGAAGAAAAGGGGGCATGGGGGCGTCATTTGAGCTCCCCGCCTCAAGTGCCAAAATGTTGTGGGCTAGCCCTGCCAGCAGGCAAGCAGGATCCCAGAGCCACCCGCAGGCCCAGTTCTCCTCCAAGTCCCTGGTTTGACTGCTAGCGACATCAATCCCTTTCGGAACGGCCACGCCCCGGCCACAGCCGTCTGCCGCCTCACCCCAGGGACTCTCCCGCCTGTCTGATCCCCCACCCGAGGGAACCGGAGGGAGAGCTGAGAGGCAGCAGCGCTGGCTTCGGAGGGCAATCGATTGCCTGACGTGGCAGGGACCGGCTCCTGGAGAGAGGACGAGCACTCCTCCTTCCAGCGGCGAATGTGATCTCCAATGCACAGGGAAGGCATGGAGGAAGCCGCCTCCCTCGGCGACGGTGAGGCTGAGATGTTACAAAGCAAAGGCTGGGAGGTGAGCGGGGGGGCTGTGTTACACCTCTGAGGCCGACAGAGTATGAGCTGCTTTCTCAAAGCCCTTTGTCCCCTAGGCCTAAGATGTTCTGCAGAGCAGGACCCGACATCTGCAAGGGAGGGCTGGAAACACAAGGCCTTGTCAGTTACTTCTATTCCCAGGCTTGGGCGTGGGGGCATCTCGAGACGTGTTTGCACCAGTACCCTGAGACTGTTTGCAGCCCCCCAGTAAGTCAGAGCAGCCTCAGGGCTGCCATGCTCCAAGGGGAACCTGAACTAGCTGCAGCGCAGGGCGCTCTAGGCTTGGTGGTCCCCGGAAGCCGTGCGCTCTGAGTCACGTCCCTGATGGGAATCCTGGGGATTGGAGAAGAGCTGCAAGGCAACTTGTTCAGGCCAGGTCCCAAAATGCCCCGTCCTGCTGGGCACAAGGTAGGGAGCCTCTATGTTTGCTCCACGCTGGCTGGGAATCCCAATGCGATCCAGGCCTGCGGTCAGAGGGATCCAGAGAGAGGAACGAGCCAAAGGTCGCTGGCGATCCCATGGTGCTGCCTGCCAGGCTCAGCACCCCCACTGAGGGGAAGGAGGGCGACAGAGGCGTTAGTGGGGGAGGGGAGAGCGACAAGGGCGGAGGAGAGTAGCTACCACCTCAGGTGGAACTCAAAGCCAACGTCTGGCCCTAAGATTTTGGATGCTCCATAGAGCCTCATCCCCCTGGTGACTATGAAGAGCACAGCCCATCTTCCCCTCTTCTCCGCCCGCATGCGGCCAACTGAAGGGAGTCTGGGGCTCGGTGGGGACAGGGTCTAGGAGAGGACTTGGGAACAAGGCCTGGGCTGAAAACAGCCGGCGCTGATTGACTCCGCAGGGCTCCCTGCGGCCCCGCAGGCCCCGCTGCCATTTCCTGGAGTGGCTGGAGGAATGAGAGGAATGTTTCAGTGACGTCAATTCTGACATTCATGGAACCTGCCAAGCTAGAAGCTGGAACAGCCGCTCACAACAGCTGACGTGGGGGCTGGGAGGAGGTGGGTGAGCTGGGGGGGTGATAGAAAGTGACAGAGCGTCTCTGCCTAGAGGTATGGGCCAGTCCTTAATGCCTCTTTCCTGGCAGCCCTGACTTTGCAGATGAGCTTAAACAGCAAGGTCTAGAGCCAGATTTTGAACACTCCTAAAGACACGGAGACAAATTCTGATCTCTGCTCCCCACTCCGGCAATATCCCAGAGGCCTAAAGCCACCGCAGCGGGATAAGGGAGAACTCCCCAGCTGCAGGCTGTCTGCCTATACACTGCCTCTTGTGGGGAGGGCATGCTGGGAGCGGGCCCCTCGTGTATGTTGCTATTGGGATTAGGAATATGATAGTGTAATGGTGTACACGGTTAACGTATGCTCAGGGAGCCGCCTGCCTCTCTCCCCTGCGCTGCTGCCTCTAATACAGAGGCAGCAGTGTGGGGGGGGAGGAACCCACCAGCTCCCAGGGAGCCAACTGCTTCCCTGTGTGTAACCGCTGAAAATTTCAGCACTAAATTAAATGTTAACATCCCTAACTAGGATTCTGGAAGGGAGACCAGCCCCCTGGGGAGTGTGGATGCAGGATGCTCATTTGGCCCTGTTCTGAGAAGTCCATTTGGCTGTAGGATCCAGCACCCAGCCAGCAGCTGAAACAGGGCTTTGAGTCTTGCGCCTGCAGCCTGAATCTCACTTGACGAGAGTCATTCATTCCGCTCCCCTTCCCCGCAAAGTCTCCAGGGCACGACTCGTCCTGGAGTGACCCGTCTCTGTGGCACAAAAGAGGCATGGGAGCCACGCCTGGTTTTGTTCGGGCGGAGGGCTCTTCGCGCCTCCTTCTGACCGTCAGTATTAGAAGTAACCGCACCGAGGGAGCCCGCTGAGATCATTGCGGAGCTGGACACGCAGCTCATAAGAGACAGTCCCTGCCCTGCAGGGAGAGCAATTTAAATAGACAAGACGGGGAACACACAAAGATGTGTTAGTCCCATTTTACAGAGGACCTAGCCCTCGCTGACACTTAGCTCCTTCCTCCCACTCTGGCAATGGAAAGGGGCCTTCAAGAGGAAGCTCCACCAACACGGAATGTGTTTTTCCGAAGCCAGAGTGGGATGTAGGGGCCTTGGCTTACGTGTGACTCAGGTCCTATGGATTTTGCCCAAGGACACAGAGTCTGTGACGCAGCCAATTGCTTTGGCCTTACGGCAACCGTTCTCCTCCACCAGGCTAAGCAAAGTTTGGTTCGGATTTGAATTTGAACGGGTTATGTCCCAAGAGACAGAGCTATAAAAAGGAGCAGAGATGGAAGAGAGAAAATTATTCCCGCCGGCAAAGTCAGGCCCCAAACCCAGACCTTCTGCCTCCCAATCCAGCAGTTTAATCACAGGGCACACCTGCCACACACAATTAGCTGACCTAAAAATCCACATCTGAAAGATCTGGTGGCGTTTGAAAGCGCACGCCAGACCTGACTCGAGCTGTCTGAGAGGATCTTCACTACCCATCACAACATCTAACCATTTTCAGCAACAGAACTCAAGACATTTTACACAGAAGGGCAGTATCCCGGGGGAAACTGAGGCACTAAGCAGTGCCCACAAGTCACCGAGCTGGGGATAGCACCTGGGTTTTCTGAGTGCCAGTCCAGCACTCTAGGCCTCCTCATGGAAGGTGGTCTGCATGCTCACTCACCAACTGGGCTCGGGCAGGCTCCGTTTGTGTTGTTCAAGTCTCCCCCGAGCATCGCCCCTGGAAAGCAACGGGAGACACAGGGGACAAAGTTAGTTCCGAACTCAGTGCGCTGAGCAGAGATCAACTCTTTGTACGAGGGGAAAGGGGGGTGATCAACGGTGTTGCATTCTCATCCAGAAAATTCAGGGTAAAATGTACATACAGCCCTTGCAGGCATGGAAACCAATCTACACACACACATTCCCTTTGGCGATGAGGCATGCTGCTCAGACGCGCATTCCAAACCACTCGGCTTGGAAACCAGCGTGGCTCGGCTGTTCCCAGCCCTCTCAGGGACACACGCGCTGCAGAAGGGAACCCGCCCCTAGCTCTGGGCCTGGAAAGAGGATCTCTCATGTAACATTTGCACCGAATGGAAACCATTCCCGAGGCGGCCAAAGAGGCATGGCGAGAAGCCGGCTGTGGCAGTCATGTGAAGACAAATAGCTGGGAAGCGCTACTTTTCACTTGAGGCTAGGAAAGCGATTCCCAGGGAATCGAGCCCATTAGCCCCTTTGCAAACAGACTTTGATGTTTGCTAATTAAACTGGTTAAAAGAAAGGAAACAAAGGGTAGGAATAAATGGTAAATTTTCAGAATGGAGAGGGGTAGCTAGTGGTGTCCCCCAAGGGTCAGTCCTGGGACCAATCCTGTTCAACTTATTCATAAATGATCTGGCGAAAGGGGTAAGCAGTGAGGTGGTAAAGTTTGCGGATGATACTAAACTGTTTAAGATAGTCAAGACAGAAGCAGACTGTGAAGAACTTCAGAAAGATCTCACCAAACTGAGTGATTGGGCACAAAATGGCAAATGAAATTTAATGTGGACGACTGTAAAGTAACCCACACTGGAAAAAATAACCCCAACTATACGTATGGTATGATGGGGGTTAATTTGGCTACCACAAATCAGGAAAGAGATCTTGGAGTTATCATGGATAGTTCTCTGAAAACTTCCACACAGTGTACAGCAGTGGTCAAAAAGGCAAATAAGATGTTAGGAATTATTAAGAAAGGGCTAGAAAATAAGACACAATATCTTACTGTCCCTGTACAAAACTATGGTACGCCCACATCTTGAATACTGTGTACAGATGTGGTCTCCTCACCTCAAAAAAGATATTTTGACCTTGGAAAGGGTTCAGAAAAGGGCAACTAAAATGATGAGGCGTTTGGAACGGGTCCCATATGAAGAGAGGCTAAAGCAACTGGAACTTTTCAGTTTAGAAAAGAGGAGACTGAGGGGGGATATGATAGAGGTCTGTAAAATCATAAGTGGTGTGGAGAGGGTGGATAAAGAAAAGTTATTTATTAGTTCCCATAATAGAAGAACTAGAGGACACCAAATGAAATTAATGGGTAGCAGGTTTAAAGCTAATAAAAGAAAGTTCTTCACACAGTGCGTAGTCAACCTGTGAAACTCCTTGCCAGAGGAGGCTGCAAAGGCTAGGACTATAAGGGTATGTCTACACTAGCTCGTTAATTCGAGCTAGGTAGGCAAATGAGGTGACCGCAGTTGCAAATGAAGACCGGGATTTAAATATCCCAGGCTTTATTTGCATGTTCCCGTCTGGTCGCCATTTTGAAATTTCACTAGCCTGAACTCACTGCCGTGCGGCTACACACAGCAGTGAAACGTTAATTAAGTCCTTAGATAGAATTAACTGCTACTCCTCATTCCCCCCACCCCAATAGCATTCCACGAGGAGTAACATTTAATTCAAACTAAGGACTTTAGTTCAAATTAACGTTTCACTGCTGTGTGTAGCCGTGCGGCAGAGAGTTCGGGCTAGTGAAATTTCAAAATGGCGACCAGACGGGAACATGCAAATAAAGCCTGGGATATTTAAATCCCGGGTTTCATTTGCAACTCCGGTCGCCTCATTTGCCTACCTAGCTCGAATTAACGAGCTAGTGTAGACATACCCTAACAGAGTTGAAAGAGAAGCTAGATAAATTCATGGAGGTTAGGTCCATAAAAGGCTATTAGCCAGGGGATAAAATGGTGTCCATGGCCTCTGTTTGTCAGAGGCTGGAGATGGATGGCATAAGACAAATCGCTTGATCATTGTCTTTGGTCCACCCCCTCTGGGGCACCAGGCGCTGGCTACTGGGCTAGATGGACCTTTGGTCTGACCCAGTACGGCCGTTCTTATGTTTATTTGCTGTTTTGAATTGCTTGACCCTTGGAACACTGTTATTTCTTCCAGCGGTCTGCACTCCCTCTCCCTCCCGATACCCACCTAGACGTCTTACAGAGCAGGGTCAGGAATCTAGGAGTCTGTGTTCCCATGCCACTGCTCCGACCACTACCCTACACTCCCCTCCCAAAACCAGGAGCTAGAAACTAGGCATCTTAATTCTCAGTCCGCCACGCTAATCACCGGACCACACTTCATTCGCAGAGAACCCAGGAGTCCTGATTCCCAGCCCCCTGCTCCAGTCACTACACAGGCTGGACCTCCCTGGTCTGGCACCCTCAGGACTTGAATGATCCTGGATGAATGATTTGGCCAGACCAGGGGGTGGTCATTTCTTGCCCCCATGCTGCCAGCCCCACTCCCGCCTTGGCTTCCCGCACAGCCCAGGGGAACTGTGCTGGCTCCTGGACCCTTGCAGACCAGCTGAGTCGCATGCCAGCTCCTGCACCCCTTCCTCCCCCGCCTCCCCAGCTGCGCTGCATGTGCGGCTCTTCCCAGCTCCCCTTCCCCCACAGCCCAGCCCTCTCTCCACCCCAAATTGTGCCAGGCTCCTAGCCCCCCTCACCACACACCCCGCAATCTGCTGCGACTCTCTGATCCTGGAACATCCACTGGACCCCGGATGTTGCCGGCCCCGAGAGGTGTAACCTGCACGGCAGTCCCCTCTCAAAGAAAATAATTGATCTCAGGAGTTCCTAGCCTCTGATGAGTGTCTGCATTGCACTAGGAGTTTGGGGGCCAATAATTCCCCATGGTAAATAATTAGGGTCAGATTTTCATTCACAAAAGGGCCCCTTTGTGTGTCTATGTCAAGGGACTTTCAAGGGGACATTGTGTTCATTGTAATGCCCTCCCTCAGGGTATGTCTACACGAGCCCCCTAGTTCGAACTAGGGAGGCTAATGAGGGTGCCCAAAATTGCAAATGAAGCGCGGGATTTAAATATTCCGCACTTCATTAGCATGTTCCTGGGTGGTCGCCATTTTGGAAATTGACTAGCCCGGAAGAACTGCCCGCGTCTACACGCGGCAGTGAAACGGGAGTTTGAAGTAAAGCCCTTAATTCGAATTAGCTGTTAAACCTCATTCCAGGAGGAATAACAGCTAATTCGAGTTAGGAGTTTACTTCGAACTCCCGTTTCACTGCCACGTGTAGATGCGGGCAGTTCTTCCGGGCTAGTCAATTTCCAAAATGGCGACCACCCAGGAACATGCTAATGAAGTGCGGAATATTTAAATCCCGCGCTTCATTTGCAATTTTGGGCACCCTCATTAGCCTCCCTAGTTCGAACTAGGGGGCTCGTGTAGACATACCCTGAGGGAGGGCATTACAATGAACACAATGTCCCCTTGAAAGTCCCTTGACATAGACACACAAAGGGGCCCTTTTGTGAATGAAAATCTGACCCTAATTATTTACCATGGGGAATTATTGGCCCCCAAACTCCTAGTGCAATGCAGACACTCATCAGGTAACGGACCTCAAGCTGTGCGAAGGAGAGTTTCCCAGACACATCCAGGACATCGGATTCCGCGGAACCATTTTCATGCTCAGCAGCGGGCCTTGGCCTTTTCCTTACGCAAGGCAACTGCAGGCTCTGCTCCATTAGCGCCGCTTTTGATTTGGGCACTACAGGGCAGCTCTCTGTTCTCCTCTGATGCGCCTCGTGAATGGCACCGATCCAGCAGGCAGCGCTTACAAAAGGCGATTCCTTCCACGCCCAGGAGGAAATGCCCAGGGCAGCTGCCTCCGGGGGACCTCTGCACGGATGCGCTCCGCTCAAAGCAAACAGTTCGACCCAAATCCATTTTTCCACCCCCCCACCCCCAAGCTCCAATTTTTCGGAACTGTCAGCAAGCTGAAAAATCGGAGCTTCGCCCAGCTCTAGGGGTTATACGCTGATTGTGCCTGCCTGTCGCACTTCATGGGATTTTTCCCGAGCACCCAGGACCTTTTCATGTCTTATTATCGCACTGCGGGAGCGCCCTACAAACCCGAGTCATGGACCGGACCCTACTGTGCTTCGGTAGTGAGGGATGGTAGATATGGTTTAATTGAATAATCAGGTAACTGCACCAAATCTTATCGATTACACAATTATTCAATAGTCCCCAGGAACAGGAGTGGCAGCCAGTGCGCTCCCAGTCC